GCCAGATGCCAGTAGCACACACCCCTTGCCCCAGCTCTGGCAATCAAAAATACCAACAGGTGTTGCCAAATGTATCCAGGCTGCAAACTCAACCCCTGGCTGAGAACCACTGGTCTACAGAGACCAAGCTATTTGAAGTAGTTCAATAGTGCAAGAAAACAATTTGTTACAATGAAAAAGTAAGAAATACAGAAGTATTATGTTTCTATGCCAACTTCAATTTGTTTGTAGGATGCTTGGTATGGTCTCTCTATGCCCACCTCCTCTACCTGTCCTCCCGCTTGTTTCAGTCTACTGATACATAGCCCCCACAGACACTAGAGTGATCTCTCTAAAACACACATCCAATCATGTTGCACACTCATGTTTAAAAATCACCAATATCCCCTATTCTCTACCACAGTGCTTCTCAGCCTGGGCACTCTTGACGTTGAGGGCCAGATAATTCTTTGTTGTGAGGGCTGTCCTGCACATTGTAGAGTGTTTAGCAGCATCCCTGGATTCTCCCCCACTAGATGCCATTAGCACCTCCCCCATTAGTAGGCAGAATAACATCTCACCAAAGATATGCACATCCTAATCTCTGGAACCTGTGAATATGTTAGGTTACATGGCAAAGGGAAATTAAGGCTAAAGGAAGTATTAAAGGTTGCTAATCAACTGATCTTAAAACAGTGAGATTACCTTGGATTATCCAGGTGAGCCCCAAGTAATCACGAGAGTCTGTAAGAGAGTCTAAGGGAAGAAATGACTAGAAGAAGGGTCAAAGAGATGCAACAAGGCTGGCTTTGAAGATGGAGGAAGGGGGACACTGGAAAAGCAAAGGAAATAGACTCTAGAGCCTTCAGAAGGAACACAGCCCTGCCAACACCTTGACTTTAGCCCAGTAACACCCATTTCAGACTTCTCACCTCCACAAGCATAAGATAATAAATTTGTGTTGCTCTAAGCCACTAAGTTTGGTGTAATTTGTTCCAGCCACAAAATGAAACTAATATATCACCACTCCCAAATGTGACAACCAAAATTGTCTTCAGATATTGTAAAATGTCCCCTGGGAACAAAGTCATCTCCAGATTGAGAACCACTGTTCTGCAAAACATAGAGCCCAAACTCCTGAGACACACACAGTGGGGCTCTTCATAATTAATGTAACCCAGCCTGTTGAATACTATTACACAACACACAGCGAGATATCACCTATGCTCCAGGCACACACAATTCTAATTTCAAAAACATTCCACATCCTTTCACTTCCCTGCAGATTTGATGCCAAGAGGTGCCTTGGAGGGTAGGCAAAGTGCTTCAGCCTTCCTGACATTTTTATCCAAGCCCATAGTTATTTATTATGCCCCAAATATGTGTCTAATTTCTGGTTTCATTAGGTTGTTATATAAAAAACCATGTGGTTGCTACATATATTAAATTGTAGATATCTTAACCTCCTCCTCTAAACAAACTACTGCACTTAAGCCCCTCTATGTCCTCTTTGTTGGAAACTCTGGCAACACCAACACCAGAGTGCCTTTGCAGGTCCACTCCTTTCTCTTCCATCAGTGAATCACTTCCCTTCTTCTTCTTATAAATGGTGGTCACACTTGAAAATCAAGTTCAAGGGTTCTCTGCACAGTGAAGCCTTCCAAGATTCCCCAAAGCAAGGCAAGTCACATCCTCCAGTCCCTCATTGTGCTGATCCTTCTACACTGTACCTATTGGTTGATTCATCTATCCTCCTCCTTAGACTGTGAGCCCTTTAAGGGCTGACATCATATTTTAGTCTTTCTGAATTCCTGGTACATAGAGAAATGCTTGTGCTCAAGAAGTTCTTTTGCATGAATGAAGAAAAGAATAGAAGTTGTGGATAGAGAGATCATTTTAATTATGGGTTACCAAAGTTGGCAGCTCTGGGTCAGCTATGAGCATAATCCCAGCTCTGATCCAAAAGAATTAGGAGAACCCCAGAGTTAGAATGAGACCTTACTCCCTTGTCTATGATCAGAGTGCAGAGTCAAGGACAGAGCCTAGCTGCTAGGAACAAAGTTGAGAAGTGTGGACCAATTGTGTCACCACATACCATTTATCCCTTTGTCTTCTCTATTTTCTACTCAATAGATATTCTACCCAGCACGTCCATGAATCAGATTTTGTTAAAGTAATCCTAAAACACATAGTGAGGAAATACTGAGTTGTAGGTGACTTTGTCTAACACCTCCTGGTTTTAGGTCATAAAATTGCCATTTGTGAGCTTTGAGGGAGCACAAGGCATAGAGCTACAGGCATTTATGAGAGTCTTGGGAGAAGGAGCCAATGTATGAAAAATTTAGTTTAAGACCAGAGAATCTGCAGAAAGAACTAAGTAGAAATGGATGTGATCCATCACTGGCTAAATCTGAATGAAGGTGAATTCTCAGGTTTGCCTATGTATTCACTGGAAGAGAAACAGAAAAGCTGAACAAACCATAAGAGATCCATGGACACTGCAGGCAAGACTCAAGACGGATCCACATGGTTTTCAATCAGAAGGCCCCAAGGAAACTTTATGCCAGCTGAAAGCACTTCTGTGGGCAGTCAAGATGGCCATCATAGGGGGCTACATTCAACTCACTGGTGCAGTGGTTCTCAACTGGGGCAATTTTGACTCCCAGAGGACATTAGGCAGCATATGTGGACATTTTTCATTGTTACACTGGTGGGGAGGGATGCTATTGGCATCTAGTGGGTAGAGGCTCAGGATTCTGCTAAACGTCCTACAATGCACTGGACGGTGCCCACAGCAAAGAATCATTCAGCCACAACTATCAACAGTACAGAGGCTGAGAAACTCTGAGCCAGTGCAACCAGGAAAAGCATAAGAACCAAATCTGCATGAACCAAATCTCCCCTCCAGAGCCCATCTGCAAGGTGCTCATTTGCTGGACTTGGCATCATTAGAAAAGATTCTCTTTTAAGACCAAGGACCCAGCTTGCTTGCAAGTGAGAAGGGCAAGCAGTGCTCAATAGGATGAACTTCCCTGGTTTTTGAGAAGGTTCCAGGGCATTAAACCTTTGAAAGATAATCCAGGCCATTAAATTCCAGACCACGGGGTTACGCTAGGATATCTGGGACTCTATTAAACAAAACCAGCCTTGAACTTCCATGCCAGGATTCCATCTCTGCCTCAAGAATAAAGGGATTATACACATATACACACACAAACATTTTATAAGAAAATTTTGTTCTCTTGCTGGATGGCTGTATACTTAGTTTTAACCACCGCAAAGGGGTGAAAGTCATGGTAAATGAGCTTGCAGATTGCCCGAACACTATATAGAACACTTAGAAGCCACTCAATGTTGCTGAAGTTCAGATACTTGTCTACTGATGATGAGATATTAATGGATAAGAAGACAATCTCTAACCAGTTGTGATCATACACAGTAGAATGCCTTTTGGTGATAATAGCAACAACAGCATCTGTATACTATATCTGAAGTAAGTACAATTGCTAAGAAAAGCAGAGACATTCTTAGTGATGTAACTGGTTTTAAACATTAATGTCAGTGGCTATCTAATCCAAGAATTCGGCTTGTTTTTACATTTCTCTCTCTCTCAACTCCTACAGATTAATCTGATACGTGCACACTGATACAGAGTGGGAATCCAGGCCCTTCCAGAGACCAACAGAAATTCAACATTTAGATTCTTGACCTTTCTAATGCTAAGTTCCCTCATTTGGAGAGAATCTCTTGCTCTTCTACTTGACTTTTCTCTCTATTGTCTATCTTCCTCAAGAAAATAGGCAGAATAGTCAGCAACGTTTGTTAGTTTTTGTAATCCATGCTCCCCACCCAACAGCAACAGTTACTTTGACACAGTAACTAATATTTTACTAACATGTAATGCTAGTATTTTTGATAAATACTGCTGATTTTTCTAAGGCAGTCTCGTAAAAGCCAAAAGTTTATAGTTATCTCATGTTAACAGAACAAGGTATGACACTGGATGCTATTCTCAAACTGTTTTTCTTGATTATGTTTCCTTTATTTAGTCTAAATCTCCAGCAATTACATGGTATTTCATTTCATTTCATTTCTGTAATTCTAACTGTACTTTAAAATATTTAATTACAACTGATGGAATCTCCCCTTATGGAAACAGATCCAAGGCAAATCTATAGAGTTTGTGGACTGAAAGAGAGAGTTGTTCATTTTTAAAATAACTAATATTTAGTCTCTAAAAGCATGCACACAGTTTTTCAAGGACCCATCAACCACAGTTTCCCAATAGCTCTGTTCTCCATTATTTTTAACCAGAAAGCAAACATATTAAAGGTACCAAATAGGTCCCTCTGAGTTCCCTATATATTAATGATTCTTGATTCATGTGTATTTCACTACTAGTTGTCCTTAGTGGAATTTGGGCATAGTTCCGTGATCTTTCACAGCCTTAAGCAGAGATTTTTTTTTCTCCTGGATTAAACTAGTACTCAGTACCATAGATTTCTGAAATTAGACCATTAGGAAGAAGATAAGATCAAAACTAGAGAATTCTAGTAGTTAGTCCTCCAAACACACAGACCTACACATACATAGCAACAACACCCTCAAGAATAGTGTTTCTGAAGTCTCTGTAAAACAACCAGATGGCAGAAATAGCTCAAAATATATTTCATCCAATCCTTACAAACAGTTTAGAAATAGATCATTTGAGTTCTGAAAAATATCAACACTGGGTGAAGGGATAAGATGACCCTTTGAAACCACCTGCAATACAAACAGGAAAGCATCTCTTCCTCCAGCGCCTACCACAGCCCCAAAGTGGAGCCAAGAAATCCAACCAAGACACATGCGGGCAGCCACTAGGGTTGTCCCATTTCCAGACACCATTTAATCAGCCAAAGAGGAACAGCCACACCAGGAAAACCCCTCAGTGGGTCCCTGGCTCTGTAAATGAGATGAAATTAAAGAACTGCCCAGGCGTCCAGAACTGAGCCAGGAGGGCATGTGGCACCAGACCCTACCTCAGACTTCCACACGACGTAGGGTTGGCCGTGGTGACTGTCTGGTGGGGACTGGAACTTTCTCTGCTGGAGCCACCTCCTGGGAGAAGCGAAGATGCCGTTGGGGCCTCCCCCAGAGGAGCAGAGGATGGCGCTGCGGCCACTGCCCGGCCCGGCTAGGACCGAAGGCAGGTCCCACACCATGCCCTTCTTGAGGCCGCTGCGACCCAGGGGGACCTCATAGTCAAAGTGGAAGCTGCCAGATGGCGACTTCTCCTGAGGGGTGCTGGGTGTGGAGAACGAGGAGCACAGGGGTCTAGGGGGCGGGAGTCGGTTGGCCCGGGGGTGTGGACCCCGGGGACTGGACGCCGAGCGGGAGCCGAAAGCGTCGGCCAGGGACAGCGGGGAGCAGAGGCGGCTCCCGGTGGCCCACCGCGAGCCGCCCTCCATACCCGCCTCGCTCCCGCAGCCGCCGATCAGAGCCGGGTCCAGGCTGCGGGTCTGGCGCAGCTTCCTCTTGGAGAAGCCCTTGGTTGAGGCCGCGCTGCCCGAGGCCGGCGAGGAGCAGGAGAAGACACTGTGGAGCAGGCTCTGCGCGGACATCTCGGCGGGGCTGTGCCTGAGGGCCACCCTCTTCCAGCTCTCCGAACGCTAGCAATTTGGGGCCCAGAAAGGAAGGGGGCTCAGGCGAGGGTGCCAGGCGGGGTCGGCCTGAGGCCCGCCGAGGGTGGTGGAGGGCAGTTCTCGGCTCAGGCGCCACCAGCGGGCTCCAAGTGCCCCGGCAGGGGCAGAAGCAGGAGATCCATCACCAGCCTTCTAGGAAAAGGAGTGGAGGGAGGGCTCCTTCGGTCACTAGAACCTTCCCCCGGAGCCTGAGTAACGAAGAGGGTAAGGAAGAGGAGGAGGAAGGTCAGGCGCTCGCTGGGTTCCCAGCTCGGGCGGCCAGCGCCACTCCCCCTTCCCAGCTGAGGCAGGAGACAGACGCTCCCGCTCTCTGGCTCTGGACAGCCTCGAAGTCTCCAGCAAGCTCCTCCTCACGCCCTAAGGACGGTCCTGAGGACTGGGGAGGAGGCCTCCTGGGAGGGCGCCCAGGGCGAGTCCCTCGCGCTCCCGGCGCGGTGAGAGGGACTTCCTCCGGAGCTGGAGCTGGGCGCCCGAACTGCGCCCCCGTGCACCGTCGCCTTATCCGGGCCGCTGAAGCCGCGCGTCTGGCCGCCGCTTGGCTGCTGCGCCCAGTCCTCTGACTGGCTAGGCGCAAGAGTGTCTCCAAGCTCCAGGTTCCTCCGGGTGCCAGTCTCGCTACAAAGTGGGGACACGAGGGCGCAGCGTCCAGGGCCTTCCAAGGACTGAGCGGCTACGGTGGGAGGGAATTCCTGGCTGCGCTCAGGGAGCTAAAGGGAGAACCCCAGGGTCAGCTGCCCATGACCCACCGGAGAGGGGCTCTTGATATTCTCAGCCCAGCCTTGGGCCCAGGGCAAGCACGGAGATGTCCCCGCACGCCCACGCTAGAGGCAGCGGGAAGGGGGCGGCCGGGACGGGTAGGGCAGGAGGGAAGCCAGGTCTGGAGCTGGGGCGGAGCCAGGAGCAGGAGAAAGCAGAACGTGGAGTTTTCCAGGCGCCAAACCTGGGAGCGGCGCAAAGAGAGCCAGGCTCGCCACTGATACCGGGTCTCCTGGGGAGAAAGCCCTGAGGACGGAAGTGCGGACCTTCTCACCGATCTCCCCTCCCCCAGATCGAAGGGGGCGTCAGCTCCACTCACGTTTCTGGAAAGGAAGGGAAGTGTCAGATTGCACCCCACCCACTGGTGTCAGATGGGCAGCCCAAGACGGTTGCTCAGAAGTTGGAGTTTAATCTCTTGCCTTCTTTCTCACCCCTCACTCCTGCTGTTTTTGTTTTACAAAAGGAAGGATAGAGATTCAGCTCAAATGCAGTGGCTGCCGGTGAATGGGCTGGAGACGGGGACCTACTAAGAAAAGTGAGAGGAGGGGAGGGGAGGGGTCCTCACCGTGTAAGGGTCGTGCGTAACTGTACGAGGAGGAGGGGTGAGTGAGGCCGAGTCCCGGGCAGGCGCCCCGCGCAGCGTCAGCCCCAAAGCTGCAGAGATCGGCGCTCACAAGGTGACTGGTGTCTGGGTTCCGCGCTGGGACGCCTCTGGGCGCAGCGCGCGGCGGCCACATGCCTGGGGAGCTGGAGAACGCTGGTGATGTCGATGTTCCCTACTTGAAAACGAGTCTGGGAGCAGCTTACCCCGCTATTGTCCGAACCCTAGAATCTTTAAGGCGCAAAGCCTCGCCTGCCTCTCGGACGGCTTCTTGACGTAACATTTGAGTTTTGCAATGCATCTCACAACCATCTCATCAGGAGAGCAGAGAGAATGTTGGAAATGCCTGCTTACTTTATTTAACTGAGTTCATGTGTCCTCTTACTACTTCTGGGTGAAAAGAATTTTATACAAGTGTAAAGGTGATTTTCTTTTACCATTTCTTTTATTAACTTACAATGAACTTGTAAATACAGGTGTTTGACACAAAAATATTCGCCTTGTTATGTGTATCAGAATTGTCCAACTCTGATTTTGGAAGTCGTTTATTCCCTATACAATTTTCAGGGGAAAATTTAATTTCTTTGGCTTCTTAACAAGTGTGTTCGACGTTCCTGGGTATTTAGCTATCTAGGAGGAGGCACGTCATGAAATCTAATTAACAGAAGAATCTGATGCCTCCACAAAGGGCTTCACTGGACCCCAGGATCTCTGACGTACACATTTTTGTAAATGCAGAGGGACAGACTGCGCTCAGGGAGATCCCTCCCCCTCCCCGCACCGGGTAACTTTATGTCTATCTACTGCCAGAAGACAAAGAGAGATACAAATTTCACCACACCCTCGCTACCGTCCATCTCTTCTCACCCTGAAACTTAAAGTGCTCTTTTTAGTGCTTGACGGCTAGGTGTGCTGTGGTGAGGAACAGTCTTTAAAATTGCTTACTCCCCTGCCTGACTACACCTGCTGAATTACATTTGGGGGGTTGTTGTCATTTGCTCTCTTCCCCCCTCAGACGAGTCACATTAGAAGTCAAAGACGGCGGGTGTTGCCTGCCCTTTCCTTAGTTAACAGTAACATGTAACTTGTCATTAGTGATGAAAACACTTAACGTCTCTACCATTTGAATACCAACACATGGAATTGGTTATGCTTCATTGGGTTTTGGCATCTGGTGCCAAGCAAAGATGATTAGCAAAATCACACTTCATAGGACCACTTATAACTCAGGAGGCTGAGCAAATGTAATCTATGATTCATATACGTTCTATTTCTCTAAGCCCAAACGATGGCAGTCGGTTTGAAAATGCAACCCTCCCACGATTATGTAGGGCTAATGAGAATACCTTCCAGGCACCTAGTCATACATTCTCAGTCATGCATGCTGGAGAGCCAAGGAGCAGAGGGACTCTTCTATTGGCGCCTCACGCTTAGAGCAGACACATCCAGTTCATTCATCATCTTGTTTCTGATGGGTCCTGACTCTCCATTAGCCTGGAGCTTGCCTGAGTGTCAAGAACAATGAATAAACTGTTTTAAATATTCCTAAGATTAAGCTCCGGCTCCTTTTTAGAAACCTGGTGTAAGTATATATGCTTTTTAAACACGGGGGGGGGAAATGTAATGGCTCTTCTAGGAAGAAAGATTTTATTTTAAAAAATTTTTGATTTTTAAAATATTTTTAAACTATTCTGATTTCCAACCTGAATGCTATTAGACTTATTTTGCAGCCATTGTGGCTTATGGCTTATTCATTCATCCCTAGTTAGGGCATCCTATTTTACTGTTGCTTG